TGAATATGAGTCATGGTGGCGTAGACTTTCTCGAGGGGCTTGTGGTCGGGTCGTCGCGAGAGGGCATCGGCAACGCGGTTGCTTTTGCCCGGGGTGTGGCAAATGGGGAATGTGAATTGGGCAAGGAAGTCTAGCCAGCAGGCTTGGCGTGGAGTGATATCTTTCTTGGAGAGGATGGAGGAGACGATGGTGTTGTCAGTGCGGATGGTGAAGTATTGCCCGTCGAGGTACGGGCGCCAGATTGTGAGGGCGTGAATCACGGCGAGGAGTTCCTTCTCGTTGGAGGGGTAATTCATCTCCGCGGGAAGGAGCTTCTTACTTGCGAAGGCGATAGTGTATTCGCCAGGTGGAGCCTCGGGGTGAGTGGGCGAGTCCTTGATGGGGGGGGTCTCGGCTGTGTCGCGGGGGAAATGTTGGGACAGTACGGCTCCGATGGAGAAGTCGGAGGCGTCAGTGGTGACATAGAAATGGCGAGTGGGGTCGGCGATCTTGAGGACAGGGGTCGTGGTGATGGTTTGCTTGAGTAAGTCGAAAGCTTGTTGGCGGCGATTGTTCCAATGGAAAGGCTCGTCCTTGCGGGTGAGTTCGTGGAGAGGGTAMGAGATCTCGGAAAAGTTGCGAATGAACGGGCGGTAATAGTTGGCAAGGCCAAGGAACGAACGGAGTTGGAGGAGGGTCTTGGGTGGGGGGTACTCGACGAGGGTTGTGACCTTTGAGGGGCCCATACGGATGCCTTCAGCGGAGACAATATGGCCGAGGTATTCGACGTTCCAAGTGGCAAACGTACATTTGCTGAGCTTGGCGTAGAATTTTTGCTCTCGGAGGATCGCGAGGACTTGGCGGAGGTGGTGAAGGTGGGACTTGAAGGTGGGGCTAAAGACAAGGATGTCATCAAGGTAGACGACGACACAGACTTCGAGGAGGTTGCGGAAGATGTGGTTCATGGTAGATTGGAAGGTAGCGGGGGCATTGGTGAGTCTGAATGGCATCACGAGGAACTCGTAGTGCCCAAACCGAGAGCGGAAGGCGGTCTTGTGAGTGTCCTCCTCGCGGATACGGATCTGGTGGAAGCCACTACGAAGGTCGATCTTAGTAAAGTACTTGGCTCCATGGAGACGATCAAGGAGCTCGGAAATCCGAGGTAGGGGGTACTTGTTCTTGATCGTGATCCGGTTCAAGGCGCGGTAGTCTGTGCACATGCRGAGTTCCGAAGTTCCACCTTTCTTGACGAAAAGGCAGTTCGTTCCGAAGGGGGATGAATTTGGCTTAATGAACCCTTTTTCRAGGAGTTCACCGAGTTGCCGTTTCATTTCTTCGGCTTCGGGGACAGAGAGTTGGTATGGAGGGCGGCAAGGTGGAGAATGTCCGGGTTCCAAATC